CACAGGAAAATCACTGATTAATCACTGAGTTTGCGCTATTTCACGTTGAAAAAAAAAAAGAGAAAAAAAACGGAAAAAAAGTGTCACCGAAAATTTATATTAAAGGTCTCTATGTAAGGCCCCTACACATATTGGATTCCTTGGTTTTACGCACCATGCTCGCTAATTCCACACTAATTCGCTGTTGTATGGAAGTCTTTGTTTTGAATATAAAGCAGATCTTAGATAAGCGGCTTACATCACAATGTATTGTTAAAAAATCAAAGGAACTTTTTCAGTATTTTTTCTAACTTTTTACTGAAAAGTTAATGAAAAGACTCTTAACCAACAAAGCGCCGGTTCTGAAAAACATACTATCTCTTATAATTTAACAGCATGGTTGTCTCGGAGTTGTCTATGTTTCTTCTATGCTACCAATCTGCGATTCTAAACATCGCTGTTACAGAGCTAGATTAGCTCTGCGACTTCAAACATGGACTAAAAAGTTACCATCTTTAAGACAACCAAGAACATCCTTTTTCAAACAAATTATTTTGTTCCTAATTACTTTTTTTCTTTAATCAAACTAATTAATTCTTTCTATTTAAAAATTGAATTTTTTTTGGGGAAATTTTAAGCAAAATACAATGAAAACACTCAATTTCTGTTGTAAATAAGCTATGGAACTAATTTTTCCTCAGAAAAAGATATTTCAAAAAACTCAATTCCTTTACTGAAATTGGTACTGTTAAAAAAGCACAAAGAGATTTTTAAAAACATCAAAGTCGCTTGCATTAATGTGAAGCATTTTAAACAGATTTTTGTTAAGAATTGTACATATAATAATTTTTTTCGTTTTTCAAACAGTTTTGCGAACCTTATGAAGTAATGAATTGAAATATTTTAACGCAATATTTCTTTTCTAAAGCTAGCCTCAGTTCATTTAGAAGTCATTTCTGAGCCTGACTATTTCACTGCCGACGCAACGATTTATTTATGTGTCATAATTCATTTTTAATTTCCAACCCCAAAAAATTGAACAAAAAATATTCCGTTGTGAAATATCTGTATAATTCTGAGGTCAAGACTTACTGTTTCTAAGACTTGGTTTGAAATAACGTGAACAATTTTGTTCTACCATTAATAATCAGTTTTTCAATGCTCCGAAACAGTTTGAGGAGACCTTAACTTCTCGCTTTTTACTAGAAAAAATGGACAAAAAATGTTTGCAGGGAAATAAAAATCCTTACTAAATAACTGGTACTCCACAATTTAAAAGTATTTGCTTTCTACTGTTTTTTGATAGAGTTGTGGTGCAAGCGTTACAATTTTTCAAAATAACTGGCCAAACGATCTGAAGGAAGAAAAACACTGAGATCAAATGTTAACTGTTTTAACTCAATTTTGAAAAAAATCGAAGCGAATTGTAATGAAACTTAGAATTATTTTTCGCTCAATTGCGGTTTTCAATTTTGTTTGCGGCTTTCAATTTTGTATGATCTACTTTTTATTCTAATTAACAGCAACATTTGAACCAAACAACCTCGACATCAGCAACAATCAAAAATCGTTTGGAGTCCGAACACGAACAAATTATTCTGACAATAATGTCACAGTTGATTCTTGGATAAATTGTTTGACCCTTCATGAAAACAAAAAACATGTGTCGAAAAATAGAAATTTTTACTATGCAACTTGTACTCCACAACTTAACAGCATTTGATGTTTTCTGCTGTTTGGTGCAAGCATTACAGTTACTCGAAAGACAGCTCCGTTCCTTTCACCATATGTTAACTTTTAATCGACAATGATTACCATATTTCAACCTAATTAATTATTTATAATCAAATTATGTTTATACTGAAACTGAATCATCATCATTACCATCACCTTGCTACTTGTAAGAATGTTTTTGTTCCGTTTATTTGAAAAATGGGGAAAATTTTGCATTTGGATGTTTAACTTTTTGCTTTTTGTTTTGCACGCAAAATCAGGTCCACAAATAATCATGGGAATGGATCGACTAATATTTAATATTGCAGCCCTTTCAACTGTGATTTAAACGACATAAAACAATTGCCAAAAAGTTGTCCCAGTATCGAGAAATCAGATTTCAATTTTTTGTTTTTTAGTCTAAATTCGAGCAAATAATGCAAGCTATCAGGCTTACAATAGTTTAGTTTTGCTTAATTTAGGCCGTTAAAATTTCATTTTACTTAGGTGAATTTGTTTTTTAGTGCCATTTGGAAATTAAAAACTTCAAAAATTCAAAAAGTTTCTGCAAAAAAATTTATAAAAACTTATTTACATTTTCTACGTTTTTTGCTTTTTTCCAAACTTCCAGTTTCGTTTAGATCCTTTTATCACACCATGCAGAAAAAAAAGACATTCACGTAAAAAAAATTTTTGTGTGTTTTTGTAAAACGATCTAGGGTTTGAACATTCTGTGCTGCTTGCACTGTAACTGGCTATCCTTGTTTGTCTCAGCTTTTCTCGATTAATCATTTTTCAAAGTTTTGACCGAAAATAGGAACAAACAAATTACAGACAAAAAATTAAAATTTTTTAAAACTTCGTTTGCAGCTATTGTTGACAAAACCTGGGAAGAAAACCTAAAAAAATATATATTTTGCGCTGCAAAGATTTGCATCTGGAAATTTTTAGTTATACAGCGCGCCTATTTTTTTATTGGTAAGAACTGGGTATAACAGACTTAGTCTGAATATCGAATAATTTTATGCACTAGTCGGGCTCGATTGTTCTGAAAATCAATACAAACGCCTGTTCCAGACAACGCTGCTGCAGAAGGCTGAAAAATAAGAAATCATCGCAGCGGAGAAGGCGAATTTGCTTCCGTACAGCATCTGTTCTGTGTTAATTTTTTTCTGGAAAGGTTTCCATCTGGTACTATGTTACGATAGTCTTTTTAGACGGATCAACTATAAAGTACTTCTAAGAGAGCCCCCAGCGCCACTATTTACTTATTTTCAGGGAAAGAACACGCCGGAAACGAATGCGATAGGTGGTCATGTCATTCCAAAAAACTCAAAAATTTCACTGAGAACAGGAAATTTTGAAATCTAGTGGTTGCTCTAGGGAGAGGGTGCAGAGCGAAAAATTCAAAATTATTGGCAAAAGTAATGTCGGCACAAACTTTCAAAAATCTTTCTCCTTTAAACAATTCAGACACGTCACAGTCATCTTGCTCCGGAAAAAATTAAATGCCTTGATTTGTTCAAAAAATTGACATTTTAAGCTCTTAGAGGTCAATTATTTAAGGTTGAACTAGAGCTCACTTAAGCAAAAGTTCATTAGCTATGCCGCTATTTCACCGGCTAAAATAGTTCACCCTTCAATTGGCAGCGCGCGTGCGATTCGAACCCGCAACCATATGATTGCTGGGCAACATTGCCATCGAAAGCGCCTCAAATTTTCTCTTTAGTTGTTCCTAATTTTTCAAAATTGTAATTGAATCTTGATTGATAACTGCGTTCATTTTTTCTGCTCTGATAAAGGATTAGAGGAAAAATCACTTTATTTCTTTGAAGGTGATACTTCAAAAAGCTTTTTGACAGTTTATGCATCACCCCTGAATGATTTTTGTAATTTAATGATGAACTTGGGTTCAAAAGAATTTTTTGTATTCTTTAATCTGGTTCTCATTTGAAACCTTATTTTTATAGCTGTTCCTTTTTCTGTGAGTTGGATTTGGTGTAGTTGACAAGCCATTGTTCAAAATGCGCACCGATAAAAGAGGTTAATTTTCCCTTACTCCTTGGTTGAATTATCGTTAAATGAACGGTAAATCTGAAGATTTTTGGACGGAGAGCTCCAGAAAAGCTCATTACAAAGGATTAGCCGGCTTTTCTTATTTTTCCACCTTCATTACTAGATCTGGAAAAAGGATTATTGCAAACCAGAGTGCTATACAGATCGAATAATGATTGACCAATTTATTTGCCCTTACCGATGCTTTTGTGAGCCAAATTCTAAAGCTATAACTTTTTTAAATTTGGTTTTTATATAACATTCAGAGCCTGAGGCTTATTGCTTTATAGTTCTGACTTTTTTTCAATATAATTGCAAAGTTTGTTTGAAGCCTTTAAGGGAGATCAAAGTTAATTAATTACCGTTTCATGCCAAAAAATGTCCATTGCAATTTAAATTGCAAATGTCTTTCACCTTCGCAAATCTAGGCTCATCTCAAGCGGTAAGAAAATCTAGTTCTCTAAAGCATTTTTTCATCCTTCTTAAGTGAAAACCTATATAGTTCACATAAATGGGGATTCATCCTCATATAGTCTGCATCTTATTCTAGGTCATCCAGCTGAACAAAATTTACCGGCATTCGATAAATTCTCTGTTTTTTGTTTTTTGTCGCATGCATTACGTTTAAATCAGAGCTCGACCGTAGCGAAAACTTAACTTCTACTGAAAAAAAAATACATGTAATGAGATCTATGAGTAGTTAATACACTACATAATAACACATACCGCAAATGAATAAAGTTCTTTTGTGTCGGCCAACAATTCCAGCTTGAGTTCCAACTTAATCACCTCTGCCTTGGGGCTAGCTAATTATTGGTGCGCTGTCATATAGCCCTACGTTATTTTCTCATACCACTGAAAAAATCGTTTTTTTTTTTGCTAAAGACAATCGACAATTTTTGCTCTTTCTGTTTTTAGTAAAAAATGAAGGAAATTTATTTCAAAGTTGAAAAAAAATTTTAAGCTGAAATCAATCGAAAAAACTGCAAACCTGAAAACCTATAAACTTCTCTTAGCAAAAAAAAATTTAAAGTAGGTGTTCTAACTTTCTCTCGAACAACGACGGCTTTTTATACTTTTAAATGCAAATTTTTAACTAATCAGAGTGAAAACGCTGTTAAAACCTCGGAGAAAAATATTGTTTAGCCTTTCTCATTTAGACTTTCTAACTGGTCGACCGAATAGTATGTTCAAACCTAGAGTGTTCTACTAGGGAAGGGAATGTTGCACTTCCTAATTTGTATTTGCTTCAGGATTTTGGTCTGCCCAGTAATCAATTACCTGAGGGCAGCAACTGTCGGCGGTCCCAGTCCTACAAATCACTGCACAAAAAGTGCTCCACCGCATCATCAGGTAATTTTTACGATGCACTAATAAACACCCTATCACTATGTTGACTGCTCGTTTTGTAAGAACCTTGAAACTGAGTTGGATTTTATTTTTTACGAACCAAAATGACCTTGAAAGTTTATTGACATTTTAACATTGAAAATGATTGCTTGACTCCGATTAATTGACATTAATATAATAGAAAATAAATAGCACAAAGCAATTGTCATTGAATGGAACCGTATAAGGAAACACTCCTCCATGGCAATTGAAAACGCAGACTTTTTTGTGTTTCAGTTCAGTTTCTTTTTTTTCTCTTCGTTTTTATACCGAAATACTCGCCAAAAAAACACAAACAGCCGGTTGAAGTGCATGTTGCTTAAAAAATTCAGAACACTGTTGTATTTGTTTATTAAAAAAAACGACCATTAAGCTTTTTTTAAAAATATATATATATATTTTTTGTTTTCAAAAATTCTCGGCGTTTCAAGCTTTCTTTGAACTTTGGTGTGGGAAATCGCTAACTGAAGCTTATTTAACTCATCAGCAACTAAATTAGCAAATTTTATTTTCTCTCCTGGCCTTAATTAGTCCAAAAAGAAAAAGCTTCGAATCGGTTTTTCCCGGCACTTAGAAAATCTTTTCATTTTTTTTTCATCAAAAAGCAGCTTAGTAATTGAAACTTGTTCAATATACTTGATATTGCGCCTGGTTTGGATTTATTGGTTTCGAAAATAAAGCAGCTACTGTTTTTTTGAGTGACCAGATTACAAATAAATCATATGCTGCCCGCACTACCGTTTGATGGCAAATAACCGTTTTTAATGGATTATATCGGCAAAAAAATTAACCCTCACAACCGATTTTCCTGGCCCATTTTACCCTTGAGATAGATTTTATAGGAGTTGAATTGTTCTCCCGATTGAAGAATCAATTATTTTACATTATAATCGATTACAATTCATTTTTGTTTTAAATATAATTGATTATCTTGTGTTAATAAAACCTTGAAGACTAGAAGCCAAACAAAGAGTGAAAGGAGAAATCATTCACTGGAGGGACAAAAAAGAGGGGATGTAAATAATGTTAATTAAATACAAGAAGGTGTATAGAGATAAGCAAAATAAGAAAAATACCAAAGGTAAACAAGAAAATTGTGAACTGAAAAAATGAAAGATAACAATTTTCTAAGAGATTTCAAAGTAAAATCTAAGTTTGTCTACTGCAACTTGTAATAAACGAAAAGCATCCGACAAGCTTTGAAAACTTCAGTGTTATTTGGATCATCATCAAGATCATCAGCAAGTATAATTATAAGTAATAACTTTAAAAAAAATTTATAAGTTTTACAAAAATAAATTTATATTTCGTTTTCAATCAATTTTAATTGATTATTCTTAAGTATACAGAGACTGAAAAAGAAAATTCAATATAACCTAGTTGTACGGATGAAACTCCAGGTGCGTTGCTGGTTTACACTGCTGAAGGACTTTTGTTCGTAATTTATGCTTAGTTTAATCAGCCTATTGAGTATCCATTAATGCCTTTATCGAATCTTGAAAAGTGTCTATACGACGTGGCGCACCCAGCTGTCAAGCAACTTAAAAACAAAATTGACCAAGACTTGATCCGTTTTTTTCCTAGCGAGAAATATCCAATTTCTGATCTGAGTTTTTGGCCTAATTGTTCCGACTTTCAAAGAAAACGGAAATGTTAAGCTCGTTTTTTTGTTCTCAGCGATCTCCGCCGATCAAAATAATAGTTTTCAACAGACATTTGTTATACCCCATTAAATCTATCGACTTTCTGAGGTCAAATTAAAAAAGATATTTCATCAGTCTATCTCCGCCGATCAAAATAATAGTTTTCAACAGACATTTGTTATACCCCATTGAATATATCGACTTTCTGAGGTCAAATTAAAAAAGATATTTCATCTCCGATCATTTTTTTTTAATTTTCTGGGGGTTTGAAAAATGCCAAATTGACCATGTTCTGGACTAAATTTTGCGCGTTTTGAAGATTTTATTCATAATGCTGAGAACGTAACGCGAATTATTTATGCGAGGCGAATTATCCCGAACAAAAAAATCGTTCCAAATTGAATTGAATTTTACACTTTGATTTTGTCCAAAATTTATAGGATTCCATGCCATGCTTTTTTTCCCAAAAAATATTAATTCGATATTCGATATGAGTTAATGGACACTCGAGCATTCAGGGCTTTGTCCTGCTTGATATACGAGCAGTCTTGTTTTTTATGAAGTGTTTAAATGAAGCAGGAGTTTCCTAAACTTATTGTGCCGTCTTTCGAAGAAAATAGAATATTTATGCTAGTTGTGTCTCATTGAAAACAAATTCAAAAAGATATATTACGTCCAATCTTATTTTGCAAAGATTTAGGAGTTTGAAAAATGTCAATTTGGCCATGCTCTGGACTAATTTATGTGCCTCTTGTAGATTTTGTTCATAATCTTGAAAGCGTAATGCGAAATTTTTAGGCGTAGCGAGTTTTCCCGCACAAGAAAATTTTTCCAACTTGAATAAGGCAAGCTAATTGGTAGTATTAATTTTGTTCCGCTCAAATTTTTATACTTGATTGTTGATATTGTCCACAATTTATATTTTTTCAATATTTTTTCCCAAAAACCATTCGATATGGATTACGGGACAGCCGGAACATTCAGGGCTTTGCTCTGGTATACGAGCAGTCTCTTAAAACTAGACTTTTTTTAACCAAAAAAAAAACTTCTGTTGTGTATTAATCACTAATCACCCGGTTGTTATTCAAGAGCGTTAACCACTAGGCCACCTGATCTGCGGCCTAAAATAAGTTGTAAGCAAAATAACACCTGTTTTAATAATTGTATATTTGCATCATTTTGGCTGAGCGGTGGGCTGAAGTTGTTTGTTTCCGATGTTAGGTGAGAAATAAAAAGTTTCCCTCCAGAGAATACACATTATTAGATTAGATTACTGATTCAAAGTTTCTATCCATTTTGAAAGCCTTTGTTAAGTACGGGTGAGGACACTGCAGCGGTAAGCAAAGAACTAGGTATGATCATGTATCCGGCAGGTGTGAGCATGTTCAGTTCAGGCATGATCATGCATGCTGCAGGTGTGAGCATATCTTCAGTTAGCACACCTGATGCAGGTCTGATGCAGGTATGTGCATGCCGAATATAGACATGCTGCACATCTGTAACAGACATGAATTTTGCATGATTTTACAATGATCAGATATGATTATGGCCAAAAAGTTCGGTACGGGATGTAGGTTGCGAAGAAAGGAGAAGAAGCTAACGTCTCATCTATTCCTGTGAATTGGAGATGAGGCGCAACGAATTCTTACGACAAAAAACTGGTGATTGCTGGAAATAAATCAGTTACTTAGGTTTCAACTGAAAAGGGGGCGTTTTTAAGCAATAAACAGGCGCTTGAAAAACGGGAAGTTATGAGACGCGCTAAAGTTACGCGACTTGGCTAAACCGATAATATACTACCAGGATAGTCAAAATGAATTTTTCATATCCACTTAACGGTCCCAGGAGTTGCATCGGATGGCACACCCGTATGAAAAAAAGGGAACTGATGAACAAAACGTACACAAGAAAACCGGAACGAAACATCGGCACATTTCATTAACATTAAACAGTAAAATGTTGGTAACCTTTACCTGCGAGCCGTGTACGCAAAAAGAAGAAGCAGCGATGGAAGGCGTAAAGAGTTTTTGCGCAATACAAATTGTAAGAAATCTCCTAAAAAGGGTTTCAAAAAACTTTTTCGGAAAAAAACTCGAAAACAAAAAAACTAGCGTTGGATTGACGCGAAAAAGCACATCAAAAGAACAAACATGGTAAGCAGATATTATGAGGAGCCGGTCGAAGGGGAGTAATTTAACAATCCAATATGCCGGCTTATAGTTTTTCAACAACATCGTGCTCAGAAAATCACCTTGTCATGACGATTTAAAATAAGAGCTGCTTTAACTAAGCGATAGTAGCCATGATGGCATAGGTTCTGTTCTTAGATAACACGAGACAAAGAGTTTCGGTTCCATTCTTTAGCTTTAATCTGCTGAAGAACGGAATCAATGCCATCATGGCTAGTATCGCTTAGTTAAAGCAGCTCTTATTTTATATCGTCATGACAAGGTGATTTTCTGAGCTCAATTTTCTGAACGTCGTGTGGGCCATGAAATGATTTTTTATTATAAAAAAAACATTTCTAATTCCCTTACTTTATTGTCTATTTTGATCACAAAGCGTTTGTAACGTTACAAAACTCAGCAAAATTAATTTGTTTTTTTTTTCTGTAAAATAACATGCTTTTTCGACAAAATTTTATCCGATTATTACCCGATTATTATTTGACAGATTATTGTCAATATGGGGTCTTCACTTTTTTTTTTGAAAAGTTGCTTCCCTCGAGACAATCTTAGATCCTCCCCATAATACAACAAAAAATAAGTGATTCTTTTAAAGACTTTGATTGCCGCATTGAAATCTAAAATACTAAAGATCCTGTTTTTGGTATTTTTTGAAAGTCTTGAATAAAAACCATCATTTTGCAAGAGCTCCCATCTTTTTGTTTGTCTTTCAATTGATGAGTAATTATGTTCAATTATTTGAGCTATTTTCTAGTTGTGGACTCATCTTTGCCTGGGTTTTTTAAAATTTCTTTAGACATTTTGGTTTTTCTAACAATAGCGAGTATTGTCTGTTAAAAACAACCTCAAATATCAATTTAAAAATCTAATTGCAAAATTGCAATAAAAGAATCTGATTAGCTCTTGATCATTTTTTTGCTCAAATTAAAACGTTTAATCAACTGACAGACATTTAAGCAAACACTAAATTTAGAAGTACCAACTGAAAAAAAACAACAAATAATTTGACAATAAGAAGTCGAAAACAATCTAATCAAATGAAAGTAAAACATTTTTCATTTCCTATACAGATCAACATCCCTAATTCGAAATCAATTCGAGAGGAACTAAACATTAACAAAAAAAAACAAAAGATTAGTTCAAAAAAAATTAAGAGAACATTGAAACTTTTGGTTCCGTTGTGATTTTTGCAAAGAAGTTTTAGACAGAATTATTACATGTTGCTCTTGATGATCAGGAGGAACTATCTCATCCCCATTCTACAACAGCGGCTACCACTTCCCCTCCAGTGAGGCTTCGCAGCGGACGAGGAAGATCTCAGTCATTGTAGTCGACGAGAGCAAACGACCCAAGGTTGAAGTGGAAGCCTCGCCTAAGGTATGTCCTTTGATTCAAGTCAACATCCTCCCACAAGAATCAACCAAATTAAGATCTTCATAGTCAGTTTTGATTTGGATTAAAATTGCTTGCTAATGTTTATACACTCCATAAGGCAAAAGCTCTAAATCGTATCAATTACTATTTAAAAAATTTAGGCTGGGAGCGGGGATTTATTTCGAACAGATTAAAAAATTTTTGCAGTTTTCCCCAATTCAAAGAAAACTGGAGAGCAATTTCTTTTGAGAGTTAATTGACTTTCTCAGCTTCGTAATATAGCTGGGTGACCACCTGTTTCGACGGGTGGTGTGACAACCCTGGTTTGACAAAGATAGTTTACCTCGTGAGATCTATTAAAACTCTTGCAAAGTCCTAAAAGATTTCAGGTTTGTAATGCAAACAACCTATCGAGCGAGACTTAGAGGAATCTTGCTAAATCTTGCAAGATAGTACGTCAGATACAAGATCTTTCATAAGATAGACCGGTTTCGCCCACAGATATCTTGCAAAATAGACCCTCATTGTCAACTAGGGTAATCAAAGGCTGATTAGTCTGTTCTTTTTATTAAATACGGAATTCCGTCAGTGAGATTGTGTTGCATTTTTTAAATGTAGTTTCAGATCGTATTCCTTTTTTTAGATTTGTGCATCAACTAAGCTACAGTTTTTGTTTATTTGGGCGGAATTTTTTTTCATCTTCATATTGCCATCTTCATTGAAAGTTGAATTTTTTTACTTAATAATTTTAGTTCACAAATTTTCCAAATAGTGCGTTGATCTACCACTTTTGAGCTGATATTATTATAACACTGGTATGCAGACTAAATAGGCCATGATAAACCGATTTTGTCTTCATAGTTAACCTTGTAAAACTACTCTGACAGCAAAAAATTGATGCTTGTTTGAGGTGGGGTGGGGAGGGGAGATAAAGAGCCTTAATCTGTAATATTTCTACAATTTAGCAAACATTTTCCTATTTGCAGTCGCTGGATTCGCAACCTGCTCCTTTTGAAATCCAGTCTTCGATCAGAGAGGTGCGTAACAAGGCCAGTAGTTGCCACACCAGGTCCGCTTCCTTCATGGAGGCCTACTACGCCCCCCCTAAACTGTCCCAGATGACATGCAAGGACTACTTGAGGTGCAGTGGTGTCATCTTCAGTGGACTGGCAATCACAGGTTTCACAATTCGGATATCTCAAACGACACCTCCCCCCCCTCATTGTATAACTGCTAGCAAAGACATTCAAGTAACTCCTCCGCCCATTTGATTAATGTTTTTGAAAAAAGATTCAAACACCCCCTTTTTGAATATTAACAAAAACATAAACAAGACCCTTTCCTGCCACAAGTTGTGAAAACGTGTAACATATTTGTGAACATGTTTGCAAAGCGGGGTAATTCTTGAACAAAAATCGCGCTTTCCGCGCATGCTTTTTCTTTAAAGCAAGGTTATAATGGAACTGAAGGCGCCTCTAGAGAAGTTATGGGGGTGGTTGGCCAAAAATGAATGTCGTACAAAAGTACCACAAGGATGAAGTTTTGGGTGGGGAGGGAAATGCTTCCCTTCACCTCTGCTCCTAAGTTGCTATTGGGTTGGTAGGTTTTTGATGAAGTTCGCGAAACGCTTCATAGCTTTGCAGAACAGAAATGTGGACCGAAAAAACGAAAGTACTAATGAGATTCAAATCAATATTAGTAAGAGCAACAAATTCTTATGTTTGTGCTCAACCTATTTACATTCCAAATACTATAAAGTTTTTAGTATCAGATATCAGAATTGTTCAAAAACTATTGATCAAAGTTCCAACCAACTCTCACATAATATGAAAGAATTATCTCCTACAGTGTTTTGCATTAGTGATTTCAGCACCTCAGTTAGCGCTCGCATGTCGTGAATTGTAATCATAATAAAGCATTTTAGTCGTAATTTGGAATCAGAAAAAAAAACTTTTTTTATCTCAATAAAAGGTCTCCGCAGAATGGATTTCAATTATACTTCACTAGCATATCATTTTAAAAATGCAAACAACACTTTTTGAGTTTTTGCTTCGAAATTGTGCAATCATAAATACAGAGCCTTCAAGCTTAACCTTACGGCCAATTGAACGAGAAAGAAAATATTACGATTTGTTCATCAAGCCTGACATCACGAGCTGGTCATACTCTTACAAAAAGGGTCGGAAAACAGGGAAATCTGATTTTTTTTTGCCTTTTTAGGAATCATCATCGTCAGCTTATCCGGACTCATCATTGGACCAGTGTGTCTAGCCGTGAGCAATGCTACATTTCGCACGCTCAAACTGTGCACGGTCGTGCAAAGAAAAGATCACGTTGTTGCACTGTTCTGTTGCGGAGTTTGTGTGCTGACACTCATGCTGCTGATTTTAGTTTTGGAAAAGAGGCAAAAAATAAACGACAGAAAAGCTGCCGAACAAATGATAACCAATCAGAATTATTACAAATACTCTCGGAGGTTTTCGACGAATAACCACAACAAAATCGCTGTTAATGTTTAGATAGATGTTTGATGATAGACGATAACGATAAAGCTAAAACTATTATCATTTAAAGCTTTGTAGATATTTATGTTTCGTTGCTTATAATAGATATTTATGTTTTTTTTTAAATGTTGCTATCTGAAAATTGATTGAAGTCATATCAGCATCAAAAATATGAAACCTTCAAAAACAAATTGAAAAAACGCAAGCAACTTTTTATATTTATATTTTTAAAATAAAAATGAAGATATTTAATTTTGCACAGAAATCAGCTCTCCTTGTATTTTTTTTTTCAAATCTGTTTTTTATAGGTTTCGAGATAAAATGGATGGCAGTCTGCCATAGGGTTATATTGGCGATGAATTTTAATTACCAATACGTCCAAAGTTGATCCTATTGTTTTGGTAATCTTTTTAAATTTAATCCAGTCTTGTCTGAAAGAAGGGAGGAACTTTGTATTCGGTTGTATTTTAGTTATTACAACGCATGATCAGGTACCACAAATAATTGGCAGATTGAATTGAGAGAAATATCATGGTAAATTTCAAGATTCAATATCAAATTCAACCGGTTTTTTGGTTTTAACAAAATGAAGAGTCATCTTTCATAAAGCTTGCTTGATTTTCAGCCTCATTTCTCATTTATTATAAAAAAAGGTTAATAATTTTTTTTCCACAAAGAGTTATCAAAGAACCTCCAAGAATATTCCATTGGTTTTACTCTTTTGGTTTTACTCTTCATTGTGGTAAATAATCAATATCATATGATATCGCAAACTGGGTACATAAAAAGTACATTTTTCAGGAACAAAAAAAATTTCGCAAAAATTTGTTCAGACAATGGACAATTTATCCGAACATTTTGGGAGACACACACAGACTGTGTTCTGGTCGAAAACAGCCAAAATCAGTTAAATGGAAACTTCGAAAATCAAGCATTTCAAAATTTTAATGCCTGTACCTTTTAGGATATAAGGCAATTTGTTTAAAAAATCAGTTTACGATTTTTGACAATTTAATGTTTTGGCAAAATTTTTACTAGCCAAATACAAAATTTAGCTTTTTAAAAAAATTTTCTTCATAGATCTGAGAGAACTAAGAAATATTATCTCATACAATTATTACTCTAATACGCGTAGACAAACACAAATAATTGGTAAAACTTGAAAAATTGAAAAAGTTTAGCTTGCCACGTAATTTCATATATGAAAAAAGCTGATCGTAGAGTTTTATTCTTAGAAAAGACTAAGTATGGAGTTGTATAAAATTGTATGATATAAATAAAATTGTATGACAAGCATTTCTGGCCAGCCCGAGTAGCTGAAGCAGTAGGAAAATATAACGCCCATTATAACAAAACTCTTTTATCATGGGACTTTAGTTTTTTGTTACACGGCAGAACGACAGGGTGCGATGGCGAAAAAGTTCTTACAGCTTATAAAAGAATAATAAAATTAGCCTTCTGGCATTGATATGCCACCAAATTCTTGTTAGGGCGACACTTGGTAGCAGGCAACAATTCGTAACAAGTGGCTATTCGTAACAGGACATTGACAAATAGAAAACGATAACTTTGATTCGCTCCGCTGCGTTTACATCTGGCACGAGAGGAATGTTGCGCTTAAACCAGTGTTCCCTGCTCAATATATTCTTACGATTTGTCTTAACGAATTGTCGCCTGTTACGAATTGTCGCCTCAAACTTCTTTGCTACCATAGTTTTAGACAAAAAATCTGAAAAAGTGTTGTTGCTTCGGCGCGGTGTAGTCTGAAAAACTAAAATTTAGACATATTTGACATTCAATGTAAAGTAGACAAATAGGTCAGCAAATTTTTTTGCAGAATTTTTTTTTGATATTTTGGTTTCCAAAATGGCTTTTAGAAAATTCTAAAAAGTAATTTTACTCACGTAAAACTGCTGGACAACTTTTTGATATTTTCCCAATTTTGTTTGAACCTTTACGAAAAAGCTTTAACATGATATATCACTCAAAATAGTCCGATAACTGTTTGCAGTACCTGATGTTGCATGAAAAAAATTATGATCGGAAAAAAACTGGTCGGATCACAAACATGCTATTCTTTGAAGAGACTACAATTTGATATCTAAAATTTTAAGAAGTTTGAGAAACTTGAAGAAATAATAATGTTCTTTCCTTTTTTTTTACTAAAACTATTACCAAAAATTGATAAAAATTCATTCAAAGGCCTCTAGCATGGTTCGAAAACGTATTTTAAATAAAGTTTAAAAACATCTAAATACATCAAAATTTTTACTTCAAGAAAAAGAACAGTGTTCGCTTCGGCGCGGTGTAGTCTGAAGAGTCTACACCTCGGGACACAATCAAAATATTTTGAAAATTTAGTCATACTGTCAAAACAAGAGCTATTCTTATAGCTTCGCACTTCAGTTCACAATTCTATCCTAATTATTGAATATTCAAAAAAACTACCCACACCGAGCGCATATGGATTCTAATCAATTATAATGGATTCCCGAGACATTAACAATCCATCATAATCCATTAAAGATGTAAATTTCAGACCACGAAATCGATTATATTGCCGTTAAAATCGATTTTTTTTTTTGAAAAAAAAAAATCTAATATAATCCATTGTTTTTGTCACTGAAGTCGACTAATTTTGCCAAGATAATCCAATATAATCGACTATTTTTGAAATAAAATCTATCATAATTGATTAAAATCCATTTTATTTTTAGAACTAAAATCGATTATTTTCGCTGAAATTTCGCAAATTTTTCAGGAACATTTGCTAAATGTATGCCGTGTCTTTTACTAAATGCCATGTCTCAACGTCAACTCATCAAGTTTTTTTACCTCTCCCCATTTAAAGAGGGGGGTAAACTGGGAGGGGAAAGTCATTAACCCCTCCCCCAAAACTTACAAATAAATAATCATGTCCATGATTACCAATTTGTTAAGTTTCAATATTTTCAGCATATAATATTAACTCAGAATTTTATATGCTGAAAATATTCTCTTCAGTTTTCAGCATATTCAGTTCTCGTACATATGAAATACTCAAAAAATTGGAAATTAGTCCCATTCAACGATTTTGAAATGAGGCTCAATAGCTTTTCTATGACCTATTTTGACAAAAAGACATAATTAAATTATTTTTAAATAAATATTGAAGAATTTAATTTGCCACAAACAAGAGTTTTATGTTTACCAAAAATTGATAACCATATAATTTGTCGCTGATAAAATTTACAGAATCATAAAAATATTCGTGAAAAATTTTTCGAAATCACAAAAAGCTCATACAAGCCATAAAAAATTCATAAAAAGTTATGACCAGCTCTTTGAGTTGATAAAATTAGGATAAATAATATTTCAAAAATTACTTAATTTGCCCATTGTACAAACTCATTTTGATCAAATTTAAAAAACTCGAAAAAGTTTTCAGTCTGGCTTCATAAAAATACTCAATACAAAGGGTCGAAAACCCCATAAATTACAATTTGAGATGCTCTGTTTCCATTAACTCAGCTGCCACAGTTTTTACGCACCAAAATTAAAAAACAAGAAGTACCAGTCAACAATGATGGCGCTGATGCTTCAAAATCAAGAGTTTTTTAGTTTTTGCAATCCTTGCACTAAGAACCAAATAAGAAGTTAAGAACCCATATACACTGTGTCACAGGACTAATCAATTTCTTGATGAAATGACCAGTTTTTGTTTCATCGAAAAAAATAGTAAGTATAACAATTGATCAAAAAATCATATAATTGTATTTCTTCAAATAATTTCAACCATAACTACTAGACTACCATCATGTAGAGCAGTATTAACCAGAGAAGACCTATAGCTATTGATTGTAACTATAATTACAATTTTGAAAAAGCGGTTTAATCGAGGAATTAAGCCTGACAAGGAGTACGAGCCGCAGCCCACGCAATAACGACCATGTCCATGATTACCAATTTGTTAAGTTTCTATTTTTCCTCTTTTTTTTGCACTGATTTCACAGTTCCGCTCAATTGTGTTGTTTTTCTCAATTCTTTTTAATTGAATAGTTCCGCTGACTACATCAGAGGCTAAGCATCTCGGGACACAATCAAAATATTTTGAAAATTTAGTCATACTGTCAAAACAAGAGCTATTCTTATAGCTTCGCACTTCAGTTCACAATTCTATCCTAATTATTGAATATTCAAAAAAACTACCCACACCGAGCGCATATGGATTCTAATCAATTATAATGGATTCCCGAGACATTAACAATCCATCATAATCCATTAAAGATGTAAATTTCAGACCACGAAATCGATTATATTGCCGTTAAAATCGATTTTTTTTTTGAAAAAAAAAAAATCTAATTTAATCCATTGTTTTTGTCACTGAAGTCGACTAATTTTGCCAAGATAATCCAATATAATCGACTATTTTTGAAATAAAATCTATCATAATTGATTAAAATCCATTTTATTTTTAGAACTAAAATCGATTATTTTCGCTGAAATTTCGCAAATTTTTCAGGAACATTTACTAAATGTATGCCGTGTCTTTTACTAAATGCCATGTCTCAACGTCAACTCATCAAGTTTTTTTACCTCTCCCCATTTAAAGAGGGGGGTAAACTGGGAGGGGAAAGTCATTAACCCCTCCCCCAAAACTTACAAATAAATAACTCCTCCCGTGTTCAATCATAAGGGCGAGGCGAATGGAGGTTTTGGTAAACTGGCAAGGAGAAGGAGGGGGGAGGGGTAATCAAGGTGGGTGGGAGTAAGCTAAACTGGGGGAGGAGCAAAAATAAACTGGGGGCATGTAAAAGCAAACTGGGGGGGGGGGCTAAAAGTAAATTGGGGGAAAAGCTCAAAACTTATTGGACAGAAAAATCTATAAATTTTAGTGTCAAATGTAATGATACGTAGCAACTGCACTGTACAAAAAATGAGATAACTTCGAAAAAAAAGTTCTAAATTTCATGATAAACTACTCGGAAAAATCCATTATAATCGATTAGAAGTGATTATAATGATTGTTATTGGCATAGAAAAAAGGGATAATAATCCATTTTAATCGATTATAATGGATTATATTGACATAAAAAATATTAGGATTAAAATCCATTTTTAATGGACTATAATCGATTAATTTGTAATTTTATAGATACTGACCATTTTTTGACAATATAATCGATTATGATTCATGGGCGCTCGGTGCGAGAAGCTTC